AGTACTAATTAAGCCCTGCCAACGTATCAGAGAGGTATTTGCTCTCAGTTTTATTTTGAAATCTCTTTATCGCACATCACATCTTTATAGTCCTTTTTAAGAAAACGCATTGACAACACGGAGGGTATTACGGTAATTTAATCCAACCACTTTTCTTTCTCTGGCGCAAATTTTCTGCAACTCTGCACGCAGTAACCAATCGTCTTCATTGGTCACTGGAGAATCTTGAACGTCCAAGCGCAGTTCACACAGTGGCGAGCATATCTCCGAGCGCATTTACAGCCCAGAACCGCTAGCGCCTTCTCTCTTTTTTTACCGTTGTTCGTGCTTTTCTCCTTGAACAGTAGCTTGGTTGTACAGCAGCTCGCCGGAAACCTGAGGTATTATTTCGAGTTCTTTATTTTTCCGGCGTTTTTCTTTGATCGACGGGGAACCCCTTTTGGGGCTTTAGTGACGTCGCTTGTTTTAAGTTTGTCCGTTTCGTGTTAGAACGTGGTTTAGTTCAGTTCCTCGCTTATTAATGCCGGTGCTATTTCGTGCCATCGTGGAGCCGGAGCAAATGGGCTGTTTTTGTGTGTGAGGATACGTTTGTATAGAAGGATCGTAGCCTAAGGTTTTATCTTTTTGCTCCTCGTTTGTTTTTGCGTTGTTTGTGCTTTTTCTACTTGAACAAATAGCTGATGTACAGCAGGTCGCCGGAAATCTGAGGTATTGTTTGTTTCTGTATTCTCTGTTGTTTTTCTTCGATTGACGACGAACCCTTTTCGGGCATTAGCGACGGCACTTATTTGGAGGTCGTCCGTTCGTGCTAGCACGTGGCTTAGTTGCTTTCTAGCTAGAGCCCGTCTATATTTCGTGCGATCGTGGAGCCGGAGCAAATGGGCTGTTTTAGTGTGTGCAAAGTTTTTTTCCTTTTCCCTTTGTGATTATCTTTTTTCTTTTTGTGTATTACTTGGTGTTGACTGCATGGTCCGATAGAGATGGGTGTTGGACATGGTGTATTGGGTTGTATCTGAAATTCTGAATCAATTTTATTTCATTTTTCCCACGTTACACTTTTGCAGGGATCCATTAAGTCGGTTCTCGTCAAGCTTCGGCATTTGTGCTCCTCATGCTTGACATGAGATCTGTTTTCTCTCTGTTCTGTGTGCAGATAAAAATGTTTTCAAGCTTTACAGTCAAAAGCCTAAACCCTTCTTTCTTTACTTTAGGGCTGCATTTACAAAATAATTAGCTGTCCTGTATGTGTAATTGAATGTTGAAACCTCAACTGTTGACAAAAAGCTTCAGATTGGCTTTAGAAAAAGTTGATTTACAGTTGAGACCATAAACGTCCTTAGTAATTTCTACTTTTCTGTTTTGGGTTGTGTAGATTGAGTTGTAAGGTATATCTGTTCACTTGTGTAGTGTGTGTCTGTATTCATGATCTCTCTGTATCTTTCATTTATGATTCCAGATGGTGAAGGGGAAGAAAAATACAACTGGCAACCTGAACAACAGTGATGTGTCTTGGATCTCCAGTGCTTACCCTTCTGCTAGAAATCTGAAAAGGGAAGATCTTGGGGCAGTGATTTTTGGCTGCAAGCATCACACTTTTAACGAGTGCATAAACAAGAAGATTTTTGGTTTGCTCTCTGCTTGGCATAATTGTTTTAGTTTACTTTTATGTTATTGTATCTATTTTCGCGGCTTATTGACTTATGGTAACTTTCTTGACATCATGACCAGGACTGCCAGCTGCACACCATTCATACGTGAGGAACATCCCAATTGGCCTTACATTGTTTCTCTTTAACTACAGTGACCGAAAGCTTCATGGTATCTTTGAGGCCAGTTCCACGGGGCAGCTGGATATGGATAAATATGCGTGGGCAGGTAGCGAGGGTGCTGATATTACTCCTTACTCAGCCCAGGTAAGCAATAAAAACCCTTATGTACACAATTATATCGTGAAATTGCAGTGAGTATCTACATAACATTCTGTTCTCCTCCTTCAGGTTCGGGTGGATGCTCGAAGGATGTGCCGGCCCTTACTTGAAGAGGAATTCAAGCCGTTGATAGAGAAAAATTACTATACGGAGAAGCTTTTCAGGTTTGAACTGGACAGAAGACAGGCCGATCGTCTGGTCAAACTATTCTTGCAATCACCTTTGCCTGAAAAGTCGCAAATGCCTCCTCCTCGACAATTTCCAGCTAGGCAGGCCAACACTAAAGATGATGCCATATTATGCTCCAACAGAAAAGTGGATCCACATAAGGAGTTTGAGAATCAAGAATCAGAAAATTATTATGCGCCTGCCCTTACCACTGTAGATGCATCTTCTAAAGAGAAAAAATGGACAGATTTCTTCAGACCCTCCACATCTTCGTGTAACGAATCAAGGGAAACCGCTGTGGAAACTTGGCCCAGTTCTGAAAATGACGAGAGCGAATCGGATGTCATGGAAAACTGGGTAGAAAATGACATGGCAGATCATGATCCACAAGAAGTATGTGAAAAGGCCGATTCACATTCGCAGTTCCACACTGATCCAAATGCGCAGTTACACGAGCTGGAGGCCGAGAGGGATGACCCGAGGAGCGTGCCTTCTCAGTCTGGTTCAACAGATAGGGCCCTTGTGGAGAGTCACAATTCTTTGTCAGGAGGAATGCTTACAGGTGCACCATCGTCAGTTTTTGAGGCTGTGATCATCAAGGTATGTTTTGAGCCCTCTCTGTCAAGTTAAGACATGGGTAGTATTTTAATCACATCTATGGCAATTTTCTCTTAATCTTTATTATTATTATTTTTTTTTTTTTCTTATGATGTACAATGAAGATGAAAGAAGAAATTGAAAGCTTGAAGGTTGGCCAGTTAAAACAAAGGTTAAAAATGCATTCTGTTGAGCAAGAGTTGGTAAGCTAATCTTTCCACTTACATATAACGTAGTCTAGGATTTTGATCTGTAATTGTCGGATTTCTTGACAGTGCTCGTGACATTCTGCGCCATTCATTCTTCTTCTTTCTTCTTTTTTCTTTATTTTTTTTTTCTTTTTTACTTTGTATGATGGATTAAATCTTGAATGAAACACCTAAATGTAGGTTCATTCGAAGCTAGAAATCATCCAACTGAAAAACAGATTTCACAAGTTAGAAACCATAACATCATCTATCGGCAACCACTTCAAAGTGGAAATCCATGATAAGCCTAAGGGCAACATACTAGTCGTTGGGGGATTTAACGGCACCGAATGGCTATCAGATTTGTGTTCATACTCACCATTACAAGACAATGTGGTCCCACTTTGTCCAATGACCTTTCCACGATCATCTGCAGCTGTAGCCAAACTGAATGGCGAGCTTTTCATTTTTGGCGGCACTTATGAAGGTGTATGGTACGACACAGGTATAACTTTCATCACTCAAGTTTCGATTTTCGAAAGCCTTATATGAATATAATATTTTGTGGGTTTATTTCATTTTGGTGATTTCATATGGTTATCCCTGCTAATTGTAGTTGAGTCGTACAATCCATTGACTAACCATTGGGTCAAGCGACCATCGTTAAATAAGAAAAAGGGAGGGGTGGCAGGAGCTTCTTTGTATGAGACAATTTTCGCTGTTGGTGGTGGAGATGGATTCGAAAGTTTCTCGGAGGTTGAATTGCTTGATCTGAATATCGGAAGTTGGATTTCCACTCATTCCATGCTTGAGAAGGTACACTTATTCTAGTTTATTCATCGCTATTAATATATTTTTCAAATGATTCTTTATCATTTGAAATGTTTTTTTTTTTTTTTTTTCTGGAAATATGCCTTAATTTTCAAATGTTTTTTTCTCCTCTGCAGCGTTTTGGTGCTTCTGCTGCAGTTATGAATGGTTCGCTCTATGTTGCTGGGGGATATGATGGAAAAGAATACTTGAGGTAGGACAGTTATATAATATAACATTTTTTTTTACTCCATTTCACAGTTTCTTCACATTTCGAGTTTTGGCATATATACTTGAGGGACGGACTTTAAGTTGGTTATTTCTTTTAAAACCTTCATTGTGCAATTTACTAATTTTGTTATAAACATGCACATATTCTACACTGTAGTAGTTTATATAAAGAAATGACTGAACTGAAAGAATATCTAAAGCTTTCAAAATCTTGTTATGAACTTCTCCATGGAAAAACTTCGCATATTGGCCATCTTTATTCATTCTTTTTTTATTATTTTGTTCAGTTCCGTCGAGAGGTTTGATCCAAGACAACATGCTTGGTCCAGAGTGGCGAGTATGAACTCGAAGAGAGGATGCCATTCTTTGGTCGCGTTTAACGGAGAGTTGTAAGTCAAAAAAATTCCACTTAAGCACCCTCATCAGACGTGTTTTTCGAATTTCTCCCCCTCCCCCCCTTTTGATACAAATACTTGATACACTTTGTTCATTTCCAGATATGCAATGGGTGGTTATGATGGAGATAAAGTGGTGGCCACAGTCGAGGTTTTTGAGCCTCGTGTTGGTTCGTGGATGATGGAAGAGCCCATGAAAATCTCCAGGGTAAATTTCGGCTCGTTTGTCTTCGGGGGAAAAATTTATGTTATTGGTGGTATGAAAGATACAGAAGTTCTGGATGTGGTAAGTAGAGTTTTCTTCTTCTTACGCAATATTTTTATCTTTTTGAATTACATTTATATGCACGATAAGAAACACGATACGAAATAGACAAAATCGATTAAATCCCACATTCTGATTGCTGATCGTTTTTTTTTT